GCCAGTTCTGGACTCACCCACTCTAAGACATTCGTCACGCACCCCTTTACTCACATCCTTTACTCAAAACACCCACTCAACACTCAAGGCAAGCTCGCTGAGCCACGCCCACACAGGATCCATCCGGATGGCCCGCCCACTAGGGCTCATCCATCTGGCCCCACCCACTAGGAGGCTCATCCAGCTGGCCCCGCCCACTCAGGGCCCATCCATCTGGCCACGCCCATTCAGAGCATGAAGCTCTTTGGCCTTGGCTTCAGCTCAGAACCCTGGAGCAGGTCCCTGATCCATGGGGGGGGAGGGAGGGGGTAGGGGGGAGGCGGGGCTCTGGAGCCAGCCTCGCCCCCTCCCTCCCTCCCTCCTTACCGGGGTCTGGAAGGTGGAGTGGAGCTGGGTGAGGAAGTGGGGGCGGCCCCCCGGGCCTCGGCCCCCCAGAGCCAGCACGCGCTTCTCCACCAGGGTGCAGTCCACGTCGTCATCCTGGACGATCACGTCTTTCTTCAGGATCTTGATGGCGTAGAGCTCCTCGGAGCCCCTCCGCTCCGCCAGCATCACCTGGGGATGGAGACCCAGAGGCCCAGTCGGTCTTGGGACACCCAGAGGTGCAGGTCCCTGGCCCTCCCTTTCGGGGACACAGAGAAGCAAAACCTCGGGCCCTTCCTCTCCCTCTCTGGGGATCTGGTGCCCTGCCTTTGCCAAGGACTCCCTCAGGGAAAGCAATCCTGATCTTTCTTTTTAAAAATTGTTAGTAGTTTAGCCCTGGCTGGTTTGGCTCAGTGGATAGAACGTCAGCCTGCGGACTGAAGGGTCCCGGGTTCGATTCTGGCCAAGGGCACATGCCTGGGTTGCGGGCTTGATCCCCAGTAGGGGGCGTGCAGGAGGCAGCCGATCCATGATTCTCTCTCATCATTGATGTTTCTATCTCTCTTTCCCTCTCCCTTCCTTGCTGAAATCAATAAAGATATATTTTTTAAAATTAAAAAAAATTGTTATGAGTTTAGCCCTGGCTGGTTTGGCTCAGTGGATATAGACCAGGGGTGGGCAAACTTTTTGACTCGAGGGCCACAATGGGTTCTTAAACTGGACCGGAGGGCCGGAACAAAAGCATGGATGGAGTGTTTGTGTGAACTAATATAAATTCAAAGTAAACATCATTACATAAAAGGGTACAGTCTTTTTTTTTTTAGTTTTATTCATTTCAAATGGGCCGGATCCGGCCCGCGGGTCGTAGTTTGCCCACGGCTGATATAGACCATTGGCCTGTGGACTGAAGGGTCCCGGGTTTGATTCTGGTCAAGGGCACATGCCTGGATTGTGGGCTCGATCCCCAGTAAGAGTGTGCAGGAGGCAGCCAATCCATGATTCTCTCTCATCATTGATGTTTCTCTCTCTCTCTCTCTCTCTCTCTCTCTCTCTTTCCTTCTCCTTTCCTCTCTGAAATCAATAAAACTAACTATATTCAAAAATAAAAATTTAGTGAGCTAAACTGAAGACATACGCCGCGGAGCAAGACCTCAAATGCTCTGCAATTCACATCTTCATGTGCCTCCTCTCCAGGGACCTGAGGGGCCCCATCCAACCCTCTTCGGGGACCCTGTCCTATTCCTGGCGGAGGACCAGAAGTGTGACCACCCTCCACACACCCTCTCCCTCCCCGCCGAGCCCCGGGAATCCCACCTTCCCGAAGCTGCCTTTTCCGAGAACCATGAGGAAGCTGAAGTCGGAGATGTGCAGGCGTCCTGGGCTTGCCCCGAAGAAGCAGCGCTTGGAGTCGGTGGGACTAGGGGACGGGGAGGGGATGGGGGAGGAAGGACCCATCCGCACCCGCTGCGAGAAAGGGAGAGACCCCGAGGTAGTCAGATCCCCGACAGGGACAAGGGGGGTGCCCCTAAGAGAGACAGCATCCAGCCCTGGCCGGTTTGGCTCAGTGGATGGAGCGCCGGCCTGTGGACTGAAGGGTCCTGGGTTCCATTCTAGTCAAGGGCTTGTGCCTGGGTTGCAGGCTCGATCCCCAGTAGGGGGCGTGCAGGAGGCAGCTATCAATGATTCTCTCTCATCGTTGATGATTCTCTCTCTCTCCCTCCCTCTCCCTTCTTCTCTGAAATTGATAAAAATATATTTTAAAAAATAAAAGAGACAGAGAGACAGCATCCAAGAATGAAAAGGGTGGGGAGGTACCCTAGCCCAGTGATGGCGAACCTTTTGAGCTCGGGCGTGTCAGCATTTTGAAAAACCCTAACTTAACTCTGGTGCCGTGTCACATATGGAAATTTTTTGATATTTGCAACCATAGTAAAACAAAGACTTATATTTTTGATATTTCTTTTATATATTTAAATGCCATTTAACAAAGAAAACTCAACCAAAAAAATGAGTTGGCTTGTCACCTCTGACACGTGTGTCATAGGTTTGCCATCACTGCTAGCCGGTTTGGCTCAATGGATAGAGCTGTTGGCCTGTGAACTGAAAGGTCCCAGGTTCGATTCCAGTCAAGGGCACATGCCTGGGTTGCAGGCTCGATCCCCAGTAGGGGGCGTGCAGGAGGCAGCTGATCAAGGATTCTCTCTCATCATTGATGTTTCAATCTCTCTCTCCCTCTCCCTTCCTCTCTCTGAAATCAATAAAAATATATTTTTAAAAAAGAAGAAAGAAAGAAAAGGGTGGGGAGAGATGGAGAGTAAATAAAAGTTGTCCCCGCCACCTGCTTAGCTTAAGAACTTTCTAGGACTTTCCAGAGCCAGAGGGTTTATTTATTATTTAAATAACCCTTCTAGAGCTTACGGTATGCCATTAAGCCTCTGGAAAACCCTGTTAGCAACCCACCCCACCCCTTTTTAGAGAAGAGGAAACTGGCACAGAGATGTTAGGTGACTTGCCCCAAGTCACACAGTAGACAATAAGCAGAGCCAGAAATCAAAGTCCATGAACGGCAGATTATGTCTGCCTCCTCTCTGTTTCTCCACCCAGCATACGGCTTGGAACACAAGCGGCCTCAGCAAGAGGGTGTTGAATGGAGGGCGGTCTCAGGAATACAGTTCCTATCGCTCAACCTTCAGAGCAGACCCAGAGTCTGAACATCCTCACCACCCCTGTGCCCTAGGCCTGCTGCTCCACCTGTGTGGTCGCCATAGCCTTCCCATCTCACTCAGTTTAAAAGCCAAAATCCTTCCAATGAATGACAAGGCTCCTTCCACAATCTTCCCTCTCTGACTTCACCTCCTGCTCTCCCCGGCCCCCAGCCTGTCCTCCCTTCTGTGCAGCAGACACTGCGGACGTGCCCCCACCTCAGGGCTT